TTGCATTGAGAAAACTGCACTTTTCAAAATACTTATACGTTGTCAGATATAATAGGATTGTGATTTTTGCTGATGCCTGTAGTCAAGGAAGCAATAAATGGTAAAACTTAAATAAGAATACCTACGTGCTTGCCAGGCTCAAGTTTTAACCAGCACTTAACAATGCTTTCGTATCAGATTTTGGTTTAACAAAGAATGGCTTTTGGTTTTAAAAGAGTACAGCTTGGATGTAACTTAAGCTGCAAGTGCTGAAAGTTAAATAGGGATGTTTCAACTTAGTATTTATGAAGCTTATAATAAATTTCAGGGTACATAAAATTTTTTTTTTTGTTTCCAATCCTATATGAATAACAACTGTCCCATTTGTAATTTTAGCGCAGAAGATTTTCAAGATGCCCTTTTTTGTCCTCTGGTACTTGAATACAGCCTTCATTCCTTTTTGTTTTTGATGTTGTAACATAAGAAAATTGGCTGAAAGATTGCTGTGTTTTAAGGCACTTTCTAAAGTGCTGCTAGTTTAAAAAAAAGAAAAAAATCATTTTATAGAAATGACAGCTTGATGGTCTGTGTATATCACTTCTGCCATCGCCTCTGTGTCAGCCTGAATCAGTTTATTTACCAATACAGTTGCAAGGATTTTTTATTTGGAGCTTGCAAGGTCAAACATGTCAAACACGTTGGTGGAAACCAAGTTGTAATATAGCACCTTCCATTTTCCTTTGAATTAGTGAGAGTAAACTCTTTAGATGCAGAGTTTGTTCTCTTTCTTCACGCTTTCAGGTAAGGATGAAAAGGCAGCCTCTTCTGAGAATGAAGTATTAAACATAAAGAGTATTATCCCTGTGCTCCATGACTGCTGAGCTGATGGCTTTTCAATTTCTACAAATTATATGTGAAACAAAAAAGAGTTTGTATTGTTTTTATTAACTGTAAGTTTGAAAGTATCTCAGCTAATAAATAGGGAAATAGATTAACATGCAATGGATTTGGCTACTTCCATCACTCAATGTGCGATGTCTAATATGACATCTTGTAAAATGAGGATTTATCATTTGCTGCTTCTGAAAAAATAGCTGATTTGTAAAAGATGGATTAAATCTTAATAAAGTTTTTGAGAACGTTCAGTGTAGCTGACTGAATCCGCTCCCCTTTCAATATTATACATTAACTGAGGGGAAAAAAGTGACGATGATGAACAGCTGCTGGATGAAAAGTTGGGCTTGATCTCATCATTTAGTCACTTTTGCCTCATGTTCTTATCGGAAACATTTGAAGTGCAATTCGCTAAACCTTTAAGGATTCAAATAGGACTTTAAGAATTTAGCTTCTTGCAGGATTAGTTATTTAAAGCTTAATATGACTTGAAATGATATTGTTAGTCATTAAACAAGGAGGAGTATAGTTTTTATTCTTGTTCTATATCCTGAAAATTGTGATATAAACTCAGTTCATAGCTCAGTAGAACAGATCTCCAGAACTGCTACGTAGATGGTAATTGCAATCTATGGTAAATGAATGGTGATTTACAGTACTCTTAGATTCATTTTTCTCTTTCAGACTAATAAGAGGTTAAATTTCCTGCAGTCCGCATATTAAATTTTATTATGCGTGGATACCATGCTTAACTATTTTGTTTGCTATAATTTTTTACTTATTTAGACATCATAAAGACTAGGATTGAACATATTAGAAACGAAGTTATGCGTAAAGCCAGGATTTTATTTCATATAGGAGTCATATGATGTTGGACTAATTGCTCTTTTATTAGACCTTATGCTTCTAAAAGATTGTAGGCTTGCAGGTAACTTTTTTCAACACACATTTTAATATGTATCCTTGTAACGCATCAAAACTCTGTTCCTGGGAAAAGCAAATAACCAACCTGCTCATGCATTTTTTTCATTACTTTGGTAGCATCCAAAATAGTGGCATGGGGATGTATCAAAGCTTGAACGTTTCTTCAAGACTTTCTGCACAGATCCAAGGCTTGACTTACGTAACATGGATGTCAAATCCAAAATTGTTTACTAGCAAAACCTTATTTCCTGACAACTAATTCAGAAAGTACCTTTTGAGCACCTGGAAAGTACCTATTTTACCCTGGAAGTTCCTGAGAAACCTGCTTAGGTAAAGAGGGTTTTTATTTCCCTCTCATTCATACTGTTCCTGAGGTAAGCGACTCTGGTTTCTTCTACCTTTCTTCATAGGTTATATTTTTGAGATAGCCGATCGTACTTACTGCTCTCCTCTGGTGTCTCTGCAGCTGATCCACGTGCACCTTGACCCGCAGTACCCAGACTGATTAGTTGCAGTGCTCTAGATGACATCTCACCATCAGTGCAGAAGACAGATGTATCCGTGGACTTTACCAGCCATAATTATGCCTACCTTTCCTGCAGCAACCAGAGATCTATGGTTCACATTCAGCCTGTGATCTGTTCAGTCCACCACTCCTATTTTATATATGAGCAGATGATTTTTTTCCTTCTTGAACGTAGAAGTTGACACGTATCCATATCTTTTGCAATGATTTCTTCTGTTGGCCAAGATCACTTTGAACTCTGAGCTTATTCTCTGAAGTGTGTGCAGTCTCAGCATTCGTGAGTATCATACATGTCATTAGTTGAAATAATAAATCCTTGATAGCTACTATCATGACTTCTGTGTCATCAGTGATCATTGGGTTGTGGTATCTGAGAATGCTTCCAGTTTGACTATTCCTATGTTTAATTATTACATTTTTTAAAGCAATGTGTAACACAAGTTACAGATGTTATTTCTGATTCACAGTCAAAAGTTACTACGTATGAGAGAAGCTAAACAACATGTTATATGGCTGTAATTTCATCATGGACTTCTGCCCAGAAAGTGTAAAATCCTAGGGAAATAATCTCATTAATTCAACTCACAATTTGTAAAGATTTGCACACAGGCATATTAAAAAGACCATATTCTTTGCTTTCTGTGACTGATGATGTGAGGCTACAAGGAAGTTCAACAGTAGACTGCTCTCCTGGTTACCCAAGAGGCAAGTGCATAGCTATCAGCTGAGCCAACCTGGGCTGATCAGGAGACCATACAGACCCTGACATGTGATTGCTGGAATCACCCATCTGGGTCTGCAGCTGCCAAACTTGCCCTGAGGGTGACTGTAACACTCAAATTCAATTTGAGGGAGACTGAGGAGGGTAACAAAGTAATGGATGCCTTGACCTGATTAATGATCAAGAGAATACTGAGTTAAATACATGCAGCAAATGCTTCCTGAAATAATTCTATTATTTTAAAACAGGTTGTTCATGTAGTAAGCTTGAGTACACAGAACTATCTATCAAAGAAATAGTGGTGTTTGTATTTGAGTAGTTCTCGGATGCTTTACTGAACAAGAGAACTATGAATGTGTACTGCTTTTCTATGTTTTTTTCTCCTTTCCTGGTTTCTAGCCTTTTTGTGTCAATTGCTGCCTTTTTAGTTAATCCTTTTGCTACAAATTCACTGAACACTTAGGCTTATTTAATGAAATATCCAAGTCTGGAAGAGGCCCTATTAGGCTTGCTGCGTGATCCGGGGAGGCAGGTTGGTGGGCTGAACATGGAGGCGAAGGGGTGTCTAAATTCTCTCTCTTCTCTGACTATGTGTGGGCCTGGAGAAACATAAGTGCCTAAATTTAGATGAGATGAATCTGCATCTGACAGCTTACAGGAAATAATTGTTTATCCTCTGGGAATTTAGCCATGCTCCTATTTTTGTCTTAAAAGAGCTACATCTAAGTCTATAGCAGTTTTGTGAGCCAACATCAGATCATTTAAGCACTAATGTGGTTAAGCAACAGATGAAGTATAACCATTAATGGTAAACAAGCAAGAGAAAACAAGTTGATTAACCCTGTTTCTTTTTTCCCTGTGTTATTCCCTGTTTTCCTTTCTTATAAAGCTAGCAGAAATGAAGGAATAGTTTGGCTTACTAATATAATGAAGATCAATGCAATCTCTGAACACAAAGGTTGAAAGAACAACATAATTGTCCTTCGTTTTCTTGATGCAAGAGGTAGACTGATTTCAATTAGTAGATTAAATTGAGAAGTGCTGTAAAGAAATCAGTGGCTTTCCTTCCAGATGAAGTTTATTCAATGTGATTCCTTTTTTGCCTCATCATTTTAGACAAATAAGTAACTTTAATGAGTAACAATAGTATATCAATGATTAATGGGTTTAAACTCATTCAGTAAAATACAGAAAACTTGTAGAACAACAGATGGTAACACTTAGACCCCTCCAAACATATAGATATTATTTTCTTCCTGCAGCCCCTCATAAGAGGATTCCAGGTTTCTCGATGCAGGGTGGGGGAGAGAGTGACTTGGACTCAAGCATGGAAGCTGCTAAGAAGCAACATACAGATAGCAGACATCTTCCTAATTTCGTCTTTCATCTTGCCAAAAAGAGTCCTATCTTCTGCTGGCTATCCAAAAATGCAAAATGAGTACTTCTGTGCCAAGCACATGGGGCTGTGTCTGCTGCTATTCCAGCCACCTGCCAGCTTCCCTTTGCAATGGAGTGTGTGGGTGGTTGCCAAAAGAGAGAACTCACTGCAGAAGTCGGAAAGGAAATTTCCTTCCTTTCCGCTTTGTCTTTTAGTTGATGTTCACTTTTTACATTTTCCTCTTGACAAAAAAAATTAGCTCCTGCGTGTCATCTCCCCACAGTAGCTGGTACTGGATAGATTTCCTTTTAGGCTGGGCAACCCCACTGACTTGCCAAATTTCATGCTCACTTGCTCTTTTTACCCTAACATGTTTTTGTAATTAAAAGTACCCTTGCACAGTATGAAGGATCCATGCCTGAGCAGTTTAGGAGGTCTAAAAAATTAGATCTCAATTTCTAGTTTCTGGGAGGTGGGTTGCACTAGCTCATGATGTCTGTGCTATCGTTTCTCAAGGGCTTTGCATGGAGATGATTTTGTTTTTCTTTTTTTTTTTTTCCTGTAGGAAGAGGAACCTCAAAGGGGAAGAAGCTAAAGTGAAAGAGCAGCTCAGACTCATTCACGGAACTGATGGAGATGTGGCAGGAGACAACATCTTTTCAAGTGTGATTATTTACCTTCTCTTGTTACAGGCTTTTAAGAAATATGAAAATGTAGCAAGACCTTAGCAATGAAAAAGAGAATTTTAGCTCATTTGCACTTTTACAAATGTACAAATAGTACTCACAGAATTGTAAATATTGAGATATAAGTGTTTATCTCTGTCTATTTCATTTTTCTCCTTAGAAAAAATGAGAGCTGCAGTAATTTTCAGAACGATTCACTAATGTGTTTCCTGCAACTTAGGTTTTATTTCTTTCTCATTGGTTTGACAAGTATGGAAATGTCACACTGATTGCTAACTTTGCAACTACCTGTCCATTTAAAATCTGTCCAAAGGTACATTAAATGAAAGTAGCAAAATTACTGCTCTTAACTGTTATAATCCTAGCTTAGTCCAAATGTTGTTAATTATCCTTATTATGTTGTCTCTTCTTACTTAATTGATTGTAACTGAAAGGCATGCTATATCCTGTCCACGTTATTTTCTAAGTGATCTTTGGTGATTGAGGAGACATTGGTCATATTTCAAGTTGATTTTGGGCATTCATTGGCAATTTTTTGTGGTCACAGGCTTTTACAGTGAAATAGTTTTCAAAGTATCTTGCTATTCCTACTGGATGTTATACCTACAAGGATCTCTTGTACCTATACCCTTAAATATGTTCGCTGTTTGTATTTTAGTTTTCAAATTTTCTGCTGTTTTTCACTAATGGTGTCCAAATTCAAGAAGGAGTCACAAGGAGCTTTTTTCCCTGTTGCCTGAGTACCTCTGTGATATGTACAGAAGGAATGTTATTAACCCTCTGTTGAAAGTACTACCTGCAAATGTGATTTCTTCTTTAGGAGAATACTCTTCATCTTGCAAAACTTGACAAACTCATTTTGTTTAATTTTTCCATAGTCTGATCAAAGCAACTTCTTAATGTTTTCTTGGTACATTAGCACTATGAAATTGCTGCTAACAGTATCAGCCAGTTAGCAACTCTTTAATCTGGTATATTGTTTGTCAAGCCAGTGTGACAGAATGACAGGCCACCGCACTAATTATCTGGCTTCTGCATAAGTAGAAAATTGCTCCTGTTTGACAACTATTTTAGGTTACAGAAGCAGAGACCTGAAAGTCTGGAAACCAAGGATACATCAGAGAGGACTGTGGCTCAGGTAATTGGCAATGGGAGGGAGGACCTCTCACTTTTTTGTAATAAATCAGAAAACTCACTGAATGCAAGGGATGAAATAACTTTTAAAAGCTTTGAATTGAGCATGGGGTGCAAAGTACTGATTCATAAACCTCACTTTGTGCCAGAAGATGTTGGGCTTACGTAGGTTGCAGATATTTACTCAACTTGAAAAGCAGCTAACCCCCATGCATGCACCTGGCCTCCCTTACCACCTGTTTAGGTGACTTTTTTGCTGAATGATTTCTTTTTCTTGAAAACTCTTGAGTCCCTACGTAAAATCCCATGTCTGAAAAGAAGAAAGGCTCAGGAGCATCAAGTAGAGAGAGGTGAGCTATAGAGTTTCCCTCTAAACTTGTTACTCAAGGCTTCAGCTAAACCTGAATAGGTTTGAGTCCAGTGTCTCATGAGAAGACTGCTTTGTTTGGGTTGTAAATCAAGTGAGAACCTGAATTCTGTAGTGTTCATGCAGAGGATCCTTGCACCAGGACTCCACATGAGCCTCTTCTCTGGAAGAAAGTAAAGGAGTTTTTGCTGTTACCTGGGAAGGAGGCACTGGCATTGACAAGGACTTTGGAGCTCAGTGCCAGGAAAATAAAATTCTAACTGTTAAGATGTTTTAGGCCATACACCAATACTTCTTCCTAAGCTGAAGCAAAAGGCTTAGCTAGTCTCTCAGAGCTGACTTTGGAGCAGTTGACTGTGCTGATGAGCCCTCTGCAATATAGAGGGATATCATGCAGTTGTGTAGCCATGGCTTTTTGGTTGCTGTCAGAGTAGGGTATTACCTAATTGATGTTAGTAACTTACTTTATATCCATGGCAGGTCCAACAAGGGTTTAACGAAGTTTCCCAAGGGTAGAAGAGGAAATTTTGCACGTTGTTACAGTGAACAGCATATACAAATGATATGTGTAAAGCTATTTATATTTGCTAATAGACTGTGAGCTTTCTGCATCACTGAGAGATAGGAACTCAGCCTAAACTCAAGAAGGCAGTGCTAAATGACTTGAACAAAACTATATGCTACAAGAACTGGAGAGCACAGGATGATTTATGTAGTTTGTATGGAAATCGTAGGACTTTTGTCGTTATTTTGAGGTGAAACACAGTTTAGCTTTCGTGTTTTCCGTTCTTTTCAGACCTGAAGCCCCCAGTAAAAGTTTAGAAGTAAGAGGTCTTGCAGTCAAAATGATAGATAATAGTCACTAAAAGGCCTTGCAAAGAGAATTTGGTGAATTTCATGCTTATCTCTGTCACAGCAGATTTAGAAAAGCTGAGGAGAACTGGTAATGGTTATACACTGAAAATGTTCTGTAGCACAAGAGAATCACTATCTCCCCATGTAACACTGAATTTTGGGGCACAGTTTAATGCAGAAGGCAGCCTAGTGGTATTACATGGTCAGTGATTGTCTTCTCTTCTTAGTAGTGCTGATTTAGCCTATTCTGTTTCCTTGCATCAGGGTTGGGCTGATCTGTCTTAACTGGCAAAATCATGATTTGGAATGCCTGGAAAAACAGGAAGGAGTTTGTTTTTTCTGTCTTATAAGAGTGCAGCTGAAATGCTGCATTCTCATCTGAGCACTTCAGTACTGGAAAAATTTGGGAAAGCCAGCAGGTATTCACAGAAGAGCAACAAAAATGATTAAAGGGCTAGAGAGGTTGATGACTTGACATGTGAAGAAATATTAAGGGAGCTAAGTATGTGTTGCCTGGCCATCTAAATGATACAAAAAAATTCAAGCAGCTTTATTGAATTGATGATTGATTAGATGAAATGAATAAAACAGATGAAAAGAATTATTACCTGCTGGATCATAGGAGCATTGTGATTTTGGATTAGATCAGCAGTATGTGGCCAGTATCTCATCTCTGGCAGTGTGGGTAGCTCACATTCCCCAAAAAGGATGCAGAGAAATCTCAGCTGGGTAATTATAGACTCCTCTGTCTAAGGATAAGAGCTTGTGGTTGTCTTAAGTCTGTGAAGAATTAGGATAGAATGACTGAAAGTACTTGGGTCAAAAGTAACTCCAGGTAACTTTTACTGAGAGCTTAAATAGTTAATGAACAAGGGCACTTTGAAAATGCTGTCCTTAAAGCCTGTGTACTTTTTGTATTATCCTGCCAAATGAAACCATGAAAGAGCTCACTGTCTGCATTACCACTGAATCTCTAGTTAATTCACCAGTAAGTGGAGAGCACAGGTCTGACAGATATTTTTTTAGTTTTCTCCTTTACAATTCTGTATATAATAGAGTTATAACGTATTTGGGATAGCAGCTACTGAAAATTTGCTGTAAAACAGTTCAGTAGACACATAGTGTGACTTTTTTCAAGTCAAACCATAACAGTAGCCCAACATTGCTTGAGATTGCCCTCTAGATGAATTTCAGATGTCAGCCTTTCAGGTTCTTAGTTAACAAACTGTCATTAAATTGACCCTGAGGACAGCGTTTGCTCAAAAGAAAAGTAAATAGAAAATCCAAGGAGGAGCTCAAGGATTTTTCACTCACAGCTATGCACATTTTATTGAAGGTGTTGTGCACATGTATAAGTGTCTTTGAGCATGGAAGAGCAGAGAACAAGCCCCTGACTTTTGAATGAAGCCTTTATGCTGTGTGGTGCCCCAATGTTTTCTCTTCCCCTGCCTTTAGGTGTCTTGTCCTAGAGCATGCTCTGGTCTCTGTTATCATCTCATCCTTGAGCCTTGTCTCCTGTCAAGGCCATTTTGTGCTGCTGGAGAAGAACTTAGAAATCCTGAACACATCTACATTGGACAGTGGCAAATCCAAATCCCATCGTTTACTGGCTGAACTACCTGAGAAATCCGCAATTATGCTATCTCCAGCTTTTCTCTGAAGCCGGGTTAAGACTTGTTTTCTTCCCTTGCTTTCCTTCTCCTGTGGATAATCTGGGAATGCTTAAGAGGAATGGTAGGAAATGTGATTAGTAAATGGTTCTGGGGTTATTCAGTATTCTGTTTGCGTTTTTGTTTTATATCTTAAGTCAATCACATACCATAATAGGCTATTTGTCACCACAGATATCTGTATACATAAAGGATAAGTAGGTACTGAATATACGCTTTTAACAATGTTCTAAGCATTGCCAGTGATATATTATTTTCTTTTATCTCCTCTGTATATCTCTCTATCAAGGGAGTGTCATTGGGTGTATCCCAGTGGAACTGAACAGATTCTAATCAACTGCTAAGAAAAGAAGATATTACACCAAGACAAGAATAGCTGCTTGATAGAAGCTCCTCTGTAAAAGTATAATTCTTTGATGTTCTCTTTTTTGCTATTGTGAGGTACTGAGTAAAGATGGTATTTAAAAAAAAAATCTAACTTCAGGTATTTTTCTGTGGACATAAAAGGCGAGATTCATGCCGGCAGGCAAGAGGCTTCTTGGTGCGTCCATTGACGTGCAAATTAGGAATTAGTACACTAAAAGCATTGTATGTTTTATCAGCGTAAACCAAGCGTGAGCAAGACATGCTGTACAGTCTGTGAGTCAATATAGTGATGGTGCTTGGGAGACTGGTATTTTACCGAAAAAGCCATACCTCTAAAAGCTCTTGTGTGAGGAAACGTTGTCTGCTTTCTTCATTTTGTACCTGCTCTGTAGCTGGAGGGCTTCCATTGCTTTCTGGATCATACTTTCCACAAGTCAAAATAAAGATGATTTACACTGCTAGTGTTTATAACGTTTTGAGTTAAAAAGAAACTGAAGCAAATTCAGGAATGTGCCTGTTTTCAAGCATCAGAGTTACTGGTCAGTATCACATCCAGCCATACCTCTTGGATTGAACATATAACACTGCTCAAATGCAGGTGGGCTGCGAACTCCAAGAAGCCCAATGTCCTGAAGAGTTGCCTGGTAGATCAACAAAAACATGTGCTCCGACACTGCAGTAACTAGAATTACTCCCTAGTGTTTGGGCAAATTCTCTCCAGAATATTCAAAGCAGTGGTGTTCCACGTGGACCTAGAAAATATTCTGAGCAACTGTTAGGGAGGGAAGTCTAGCTTCTAAGGTAGGACATATACTCTGGATCTCTTGGGCCAGCTTTCTGAAACCATTTAGACTCTTACAGTATCAGAATTTTCCTGTTTGCAAGTGCTACAGTTTTTTGCTTTTAGTGGCAATTCATAGAGGATTTTTAAATTTACAGATAAAAATTATATAAGGTATCTACTGAAATACTTAAATAACTTTAAAACCTGGCCCTCTGTATGGACTGAAGAGAGACAGTGAGTCATCACAACTGAACTCAGCTGATTCTGAACAAGGAAGAGAAGTGACTAATAGTTTGGAAATGATTGGAAACATCAGGACTTTCATTCGGGTTAGTGAGTAGCAGCAGGTCAACTGAGAAACCCTCCTCCCACATGAGCTAATGTGCACTCATGGAAAGGCCCTCACCTGGAGTCAGCCAGGCATGGGAAGGGGTAGCTAAAGATGAACTCACTTCACCTATAGCTGAGATGCTCTGCCTACTTAAGTTTAGTCATTTTAGTGCAACACGGTTTGCTGACAACTGAAGGTGTTTACTTTTCTCTAGAAATTGTGCCCCCCCCCGTTATGCTAGATGAGTTAGCCTATCTGTTTTGTTGTTTTTTTCTGAGTTACTCTAAAAGATAAAAGATACTTTTCTGCTTCATTGCCTCTCCCCACATCTGTCTTTTTTATTGGTTTTAATATTACAATTGAAACTAGTAGGTCTGTTTGAGTCTGGGCCCCCATTACAGTAGCCATCAGTTAAGTGTATAGATATATGATCTGCCACATGAGCAGCCAGAGGAGAGAGGAGTAGGTACCAGGCGAGGAGCAGCCACCTGCTCCTCCGGCAGCAGGACATGGGAGCTGACTCCTGGCTGCTAGTCCTTTTCCCTGTGCGCTGGAGTGTCCCACTTCCTTCTGGGCTTGTCCTTCCTATATATTTTGTTAGTGTTTCTTTTAGGAGCTTTTGCATTTTTTTAACTCTTTCTTAATTCTCATCTGTTACCTTTCAGCCACCTTCTTTCAGCATCCACTAACAAGAAGAGTTTAACCTTTTCACTGCAGGTTCTCACCTGCCCTTAATGTCTTACAGCTAGCCTGTATCTCTTCCTTCTGTCTTGGGCTTTTTCCCTTTCCCAGGCAGGAGGAGTTGGAGCTGCCCAGGAGACCCAAAGCAGCCTTTCCCTGGAGCAGTGGCCAAGAGCCACTAAATGGGTAAATGGGTAACCCTGCTCTGTTGCTCTGACCCATGTCAAACTTTTCCAGGTATTCCCACCCCCTACAGAGTCTCCGCATGAATGTTAGCTGTACAGGAGCGAGAGCTGCCCCATAGTCATCCAGGGAAGGGAGTTGTTAAATCTCAGTTTGGTTTTGGCCACGTCCTCTATCCATTCCGTAATGCCTGTAATTTGCGTGATTTCAGAGTTCCCTGCTATCCCCGTGGAGATGGATCCTTGGAAAGTCCTGATCTACAGCAGAAAATAACGTTTTGGTGTATAGCCTATACAAGGACTGCACTGATCAGAAAAGTGGCCAGGGCTAGCTTGGCCTGCCGAAGGTGTGGTATCGTGCACGATGGCTGTACAGAATATGGGGCAGACAGTAACAGTCATATTTAAGAAGAACAGGCTTCAATTGGGACTGAGCTATTTTTTTTGTTTTTGGAGGTAATCCCATTCTCGGCTTCCTTCTGACCAATGGCAGTTGTACACAATTCCTCCGGTTGCCAGTGTTTTGCTCCCCTAGAGAATGAATTCCAGCGTTTTCTGTGCTTGTTGTCTGAGAAACAGATGCACTGGCTTGTATGGTCATTGGTCAGAAAGTTTCAGATTATTTTATACTTTTTTTTTAGTATTTGCTTTTGTCGTCTTTTGGTCATATTTGTACTTATGTGTTCTTTACGTGTGAATTTTTGTTTGATATGTGCAAATTATCAGGGGAAAAACGACTGGGATTTTTTGCACACTTCACAAGGGTTTTAGATGTATATTTTCTCTATAATTAAAAAAAAAAAAAGTGGGCATCTGGCAAGAACATCTGTCCAGTGGGCTGTTTCCCTTGTTTCCCAAAGCATCTCAGCCCTTTTGGAAATTAGCTTGATGAAATCTATTTGCATTAGGCAGCTAGCACCAATTGTGTCATAAAGGGTTAAAAACAGTTTTTCTTCTGTGCTTGCAAGCATTCGGGAAGGGTAATGAATATACTCCAGTCATAATTGGTGTTAGAGTTCAGCCTAACACAAAGGCAACCAGTTCAGCTCCGGAGAAAAGAACGTATTTGTTCCTTCAGCTTAATCAAAACTTATGTTCTTTATTTTCTCCTGTATTTGCATGAAGAGAAAAGGTCTCTACTTGACAAAGAAATGTGTGAGTGGCTGAGAGGGGTGTTTCAGTGATTGAATTTGGCTCAGGTCACCTCTGTATTCTTCATGAGAGCTGTAAACTCAGTTTTTTCTTCCTCAGGTAGTGGGTAGGAAAAAAGGAGGAGGTACCATCTAGAATATAATGGTTTAGTTTTGTTTACCTCTGTGCAAGAGGCAGACAAGCTTCAGGTAGTTCTGTTTGCTACTGATAAGTACATAAAGTTTTAGATATGCGAGCCCAAAAAACTGGGTCTGTATCCCAGAAGAATGTGCTTTTTTTCCAAAGAATTAATACGCCTTTCTAACAAAAGGATGTTGAAAATGCTGTTAGTTTTTTGGACTTGATGTTTCCAGCTGTAGCTCAAGCAATATGGAAGAAAGACCCCAGGCAACACAGATTAAAGTCAGGGAAATAATTTCTGATTTGAACCTAGTTTACATTTCAGTATTTGGTCTGGTCTCACTTTAGTACAACTTGTTAAACTCTTTACATTCTCTCTAACCCAGATGATTTTAACAATATCCTTGAGCCGTTTTCCTCTTCTCGCTAACTGTCCAATACTTTCAGCTGCCTGCTGGCTGTATAAAGAAACTTTTCCCTTTTAATTAAATCATTGAGTTCATCACTGAAGGCTATGAGCTCGGAAGGAACTTGTTTTCCTTTGAGTCTGGATCTTGGCAAGTATGACAAACATTTGTGCAAGTTAATAGAGACCTGAGAGTTTCCTCCCACCTCCCAGGAAAGCCAAGAGCAGTTATTCTTTGGTAAGCGAATTCCTGCAGTGCCTGGTATTGCAATATAATGGCAGTTTCCTGTTTTATTCTGAGTAATGAGACTAGACTAAGTCTTTAGCAGAGGCATGTTGCCATCCTGTCCCTGACACCCATGAGATAGCGTAGCTTGTAGACACCCAGCTAAAAGCTACTGTGGTCCTTATGCTTAATATACGTAGCACAACTAATCCTGAGGCAAAAAGTAGTTTTCCAGGATAACAACAGAGAAAACAAAGATGTTAAGCATGATAACATTATACTTTTAATGGTTTTGGGGAATTCTGTCTTTCTCCTGTGAGTTAGTGTAACTTTATCTTCATTAATTTCCATGACTTCTATCTTGGTGAAAGAACTATAGGCCAGAAGAAAACTGAATAATCACTTAGATTAGATTGTAGATTGTCCTGGCAGTAGCTGAGATGAACCTGCAGCATTTCATAGTAGTAGAGCACATTTCCTTTGCTATGCGAATGATTCTGTTTCTTCTGAAGTAATCCTTTTCCTTTTCTTTTTCTAATGTGATGAAGGGCATGAAATAGTGTAATGCAATCTGATCATTTAATTCAAACAGGATTATTCTTCTATCTAATCAACACCCAGGAGCACGTAAATCAGTGTATACCTGATCAGAATTAATTACGCTTGAATGGAAGTGCAAGTGCCCTAGTATTTGTGAAGGAAGCCTGATAAGCAATACCAGACAACTGCCTAACCAAAAACAGGTTTTCAGGTAAGCTTCACTGCTTTTTTTCTTAAGTTAATTTTATGAAGCTAATTAATACATATGTGTTTATAAAGCAGTAAGATTTATAGCAAGCTGATAACATGCCAATCCGTAACACACTGATCCATAACGCAGAGCAAAAACTATTACAAGTACTCTGGGATCATATCTCAGTCCTTGTTGCTGCTAAAGCAGATGGAAATACAGTAATAATATCCTTCTGAGGATACCACGTGCCCATTTTGTAAGGGATTTAAGATAATATCATGTGTATGGAATAAGGTACAGGGCAACTGCAGAAGCTCCTTGCACTCTCTTTGATCACTACATAGACAGAACCGAGGCTGTGCTAAGGTGGCTACCTGCTTTGAAAAACCTAGTTTTACTTAAGTAGAAGAAAACTTTACTTAAGTTTTACTTAAGAAGAAGGAGATGGATGGGGCCTCCAGGGACTGGATGATCTCCAGAGGTCCCTTTCAGCTGAAATTAGGTTCTTCACTCAAAACCACAGACTATGTATGTATACTATATAAGTTACTAGCCAGGTACATATGTTTTTTTTATTAG